TAGGAAATGTTATGCAAGGTCAATCAGCGATTATAATGGACATGAGTTTGGGAATAAAAGTCTCCAAATTTGTAAGCAAGCCAAACACCGAATACTTGTGACAAGTGTTTGGTCCTCAGAGCAATCTCATGCAATGTGAAACACTGCTGGAGATTTTTTTCTGGAAGCCTCCTGCCCCTTAGACCCTCTTTAAACGTATTTGTAGTTTGTCTGGGCAGTGGTACAAACAAGCCTGCGGTAACAGGGAGTCTCTTGAGCAGTGCCCAGGTAGGTGAAATCTGTTGGCCCTTGTGTTGGGACCTGAGGCCAGAATAAATCGAGACAAATGTACTAATAGGTTCAAGCGATCTATCTGTTTCTAACCATCATGATTTGGGATTCAAACCACTCATGTCTTCAACAGTTTGAACACGGCCAAACTAGCTAAAGAATCAAACCCTTGATTTTGTTTTGTTTGCACCGTTCCAGAACTCTGAACACATGTCCAGAACTCTTTAAATGTTTCTTTATTTTCACATGCATATTAAAAATGTGTTGACTGATGTGTTGATTTATGACTGAAGTTCATGGTGAATATTTGAGGGTCACTGTTCTGAATTGTTTGAGAATGTAGGCTACGATCCATTGCCTGATCATAGTACAAATGGGTCATACAAAAATATTTGAATATAAGGTTTGCCAGGAGCTAATCACAATGTGTTTTCATATTGGAATGTTTCAGTAAAGTATCGATGGCAAGGCTTTATGCATTTTCCAGATATTTTATCCAAAGTCACTTAAGATGTGTCAGAGTAACGAAATTCGTGGGCAAAAAAAATGTCTTTTGTCAATAGAGATGTAAGAAGCACTGCTCACACATACAGTAAGTCACTATCAAACCAAACAGCCTTATGTTTGTCAGCATGTGACCAGCTTGAATGAACACTAAGGAAAATCTGCATTGGGAGCTTTTTCCTCCCTCACATGAAACTCCCAATCGTGGGGAATCCTATTTAAAGGTGACCTAATATGCAAAAATCACTTTTATAAGGTGTTTGAACACAGTTGTGTGGCTGCAGTGTGTGAAAACTCATTTTTTTATAATCCCACTAAATCATAAACAGTCTCTCCAAACAAGCGGTTCCAGATTTCTCCCTATTATGACATCATACTAGGAAAAGTCCTGCCCATTTGTGATGATCTCTACCCTATTAGCATAGACACAGCCCTGAGTGAGAAGCAGCAGTCCGCCATTACTGTTTTCTTGCTGATTGCTTCTGAAAGATGGATCGATGCCAACGCTACACAGAATCTCTTGGATTACAATTTGCAACTAGATGGATGTACTGTTACTTCCTCTATAGTCAAAAATCTGGGTGTTATATTAGATAGCAACTTGTCTTTTGAAAGTGCACATTATTATTCTTTAGTTTGGGTTAAACAAATCAATTTTGCTTGGTTGGAACAGCAGCTACGCTAATTACGTTTCTATTTGTTTCACTGTTTTTGCCACGGGAGGATTTACACAAGCTTCAGTCTGGATCCAGAACACCTGAGAAGAGATGATGCCAACCCCTCATAGGACCTCAGATGATGCCAACCATGAAACAACATAGAGGACTACCAAATTTTGCTATAAGTTTGATTGCATCATATAATAATTGCTGTGAATAGTGTTCATTGTCTGTTTGATTACGTCTTTAATTGATTTTTTTTCCGTACATTTCTGCCATATGTACATTAACTGACAGTCACCACTAAGATACTACTAAATATATTGTAGAAACTTAATTTTCTGTAAAGTTGCTTTGCAACGATTTGTATTGTGAAAAGCGCTATACAAATAACCTTGAATTGAATTGAATACTGAAGCCTGATTTGTTCATGTTTGTATAGCTGCATGAACAAATGACGTTTCAAGCCGTCATAAGGGGAGGAGCCGACTGCTTTATAAGTCAGCTTTGAGCACCATTTTGTCAGAATTTTTCTCCTTCAACATGAAGATCATCTCCCCGGTGGACTCTGAAGACGAAGCAAGAAGCAATGGGACTCAACGTTCGGGCTCGAGTGATTGCACGCTGGTTCAGCTCCCGCATGCTTCACTCTCCCCGCAGTGCATCGACTCACCGGTGTATTTCACACATGAGAATCAGTGCCCCTCATCAGCTGCAAGCGGCTTGATCTCTTTTCAGCGGATCTGAGGAGGAAGTTGTCCCTGATGGCTTTAATTCCGACTTTGCGGAAGAAAGAGTTTATAGCAAGCTCCCCCTCTCGAAGAGGCAGTCGCTGCTCATCTCTGCCCTCCTTCGGCCCTGGGTTTGAAGGCCCATGCAGCGCACCCATCTAAGCCCTGCAGGACCACCTCTGCTCTTGAGGGCAGGGCTTATTCAGCAGCTGGCCAGGCTGGCTCTGCGCTTCACATGATGGCGGTGCTCCAAGTTTTCCAGGCCAAACTTCTCCTCACGATGGAGTCCGGCCAGAGTTCTGACGCCTTCACGGAGCTCCACACAGCAACTGACTTGGCTCCGTGAGCTACTAAGGCCACTGCGCAAGCAATTGGCAAGGCCATGGCCAATCTTGTGGTGCTGGAGTGCCACCTTTGGCTAAATCTAACGGAAAACAAGGACTCTGACAAGATAGCCTTCCTTGACTTCACCGTCTCTCCCAAGGGACAGTTTGGCCCTGCTGTGGATGGGTTTGCTGAGCGGTTTACAGCGGCACAGAAGTCATCGCAGGCCATGCGTCACTTCCTGCCAAAGCGCTCCAACTCGGCCCTGCTTGGGCAATGGAAGCTCAGTTCAGGCTGGGCCCATCCTTCCCATTCAGCACTATATCTGGTCCATGCAAACTACCGATGTGATAGCGGACCCACATACTCAAGAGAGCACTTCTCCTCTTCCCACTATCACGAGGGTCAGTTACCTGTCTCCTTGCGGTGACCTGCCACTCGAAAAACTCAGACCACTTGCCATCAGGCTCCAGGCTTGGAAAGCCAATCTGGATGTGTCAAGCTGCATTCTAAAAACCATAGATCGAGGTTACTCGCTCCAGTTCGCTCGCAGGCCACCTCGCTTCAGAGGTATTATTCAAACTTCGGTACAGGACAACGATGCTCACGTTTTCCGGTCCGAAGTGCAAACTCTGCTTGCAAAAGGAGCCGTAGAAACGGTCCCTTTAGCAAACAGCAAGTCAGGCTTCTACAGCCGCTACTTCCTCGTTCCCAAGAAAGATGGCTGGCTCAGGCCCATCCTCGATCTCTGGCATCTAAACCACGCGCTTATGAAACAGCCTTTCAAGATGTAGGGGTGCTCTGGGACTGGACTCGCAGAGTGGTTTCGTTCTGCACTTGCTTATTGCACAGCGCTATTGGATGCTTTCCCCAAAGTGTTCAACGCAATGGGAGAGACCGTTCGAAAGGGAACACTCTGTTTACTAACGTAACCTCAGTTCCCTGAGATAAGAGAACGAGCATTGTGTAGGCTGCCATGCTATAAGGCTGCATGCCAATGTAAAATGTGTATAATGTATAATATGTAAAATGGCAATGTATTTCTGTATTAAATTTACCATATGTCCAACGTTTGGTGAAAATTAAAATTAAATTATATAATTTCCTACAGTAGTTTTAATATGTAAATTAAATACATATTTTAACACTTTATAAGTTGCAAAATTGAAATGAAAATGTATTGATTATATATGTTTAACATGTCGAAGCAAAAAATGCAGCAAAATTATAATTTAAATGCTATTTTTCCTTGTTTTAGTTCTTACATAAAATTTTTAACCTATTCAGTTATTTCAAAAGACACAAATATCAAGATACATATTGTCAAAGACTTATGTAATCTTTTAGCTAAAGTCTATTGCCCAATCCTGAAGTTTCATTTTGTTAAGCATTTTGCTGAAGTGTGGGCAGGCCATCAATTCATGTTCACCTCCATGGAGCCCGTTGAGGAAAGTCACTTTTCAGAGATGCTCCAGTGAGATCAAGACTGCATTAATCAGCTCAATGTATAATGCACACACTCACAGAGCATCAGCCGTATGACAGCCCAATTACAGCATCTGCCAGAAAGAGCTAATCGCTGCATCTCAATGACACCATCTGACTCACAGAGAGAAAGATGGACAGAGAGAGAGAGATCATGAGACCATGTAAATCAGGCTGAATTGAACAGCAAAGCAAAGCAAGATGAACATAAAATAAATAAAAAAGCCATCAAAGGCAAACGTTAAAGTGATTATCCCACAGATAAGGAGTGCTCTTAGGCACAGAGAAGAGTGGCTTGTGACTGTGTATATACATTATATACTAAGTATTCATTTGATGTGTTTTGGCACGGAGTGAAGGATACCGACCTGCTTGAGGACACAGTATGGATTCCCCTGTACACATTGGCAGAGTATCAGACATTAACCATCAGACACCCACTGTAACTAAACTGCAACATATTTAAAATGGTTTGAACAATAAATAACATTTTTTTAAACTAGATAAGACTTGGTAGAATACAGCTGAAATGTATAAAAGCAAAAAGTTTGAAAAAAAAAAAAAAAACTCCAATCATGCCAAAGCCATACAAAATTATTTTTCATGAATGTGACCTGTAGTATTTGTTTTGCACATGTTTGCTCATAGAAAAATGGCAACAAATTACGTTTTTTTCCCCCTGAATGGTGCATTTCTGCAACAGGGTCACCCATATTCACAAAACAGATCCCACTCGGTAAAGCATGGATAAATTACTCCAAATTATTGATTATTAGATAAACATGCTCACAACGTAGAGAACATATTCAAATTTGAAATGTACTCAATTAATATTCAAAGAAATTCAATAGGTAATGGAATTATAGTAAAAATTCGTCCACACTGGTCCATAAAATGAAAGTTAATTTATTAATTATAAATAATCAAACCATCAATAATTAAATAATCAAAACCAATCAAACCATCATTCAGATGCACTTCACTTCATTTACCTCTTTACATTTAAATTCTAATTGCATTTCTGCAATCTATTAGCTATTTAAGTTTGAATTCCATTTAGATTTTCAAATTGGCATTAAGCATTCTCATTTTGGGTTTTGAATGGTACACGAATGAGTGCTTGTATTTTTAATTATTGAATAGTGTATTGACCTACAAAAACATGTGCTTCCTCATGGTAAAACATAACTATTTCATATGAATTCGCACAGAACTAGTACGAAAACGAAAGCTTGAAGGTCCATCCCTACACATAACTGTCACTGAAACATATAAAATGAGACTGTATGAATTAATACAATTTAGCCACCAATTTGCCAAAACGTAAGATTTTGCCATGAGATTGTGTTGGTTTCCTAATACCTAAATTAACCTTGTCATTTAACATTACAATGCAAAATCCTACAGAATATCCCTGGTTGGTTTAAAGTTAAATACTACAACATGAAACTAAAAAAATGGGAAAAAAATTTCACCAGAATTGGTTAATATCATTAGTCAGTTGCCTAAAAACCCTTTTCTTACGTTGGATTCCCAAAAAACTCTGAACTTCCACCACAGGCAGTGGCTGCTCTTATGCGCTACATCTGCAGAATAAATATTGAAAGATTTCTAAAACATATCCTGTAATGAGAGCTGTAACATGAAGACATCTGCAAGATGGACCTTAAAAAGAGCTGCGGACAATCAGAGCAGAGGGAAGCATGTGCTACTCAAAGGCCACCAGAAGGGGGAGATGAAGGCCAGAGAAGCTAGTCTGCAAACACGACAGCAAGGATCTACCAGACACCTGCTCCATGTGAAGCACATCCAGTAAGGACCGTCACTCTCCTCTGAGCCTCCTGCTTTGGACCTTAATGTCACTAGCTGGATTCACCACACAGTGCGCTCTGTAATAGTGATCCTGGAGTCTTTTCCAAAGTTCACAGCATCTCAACAGGGTACTATTACCTAAGAGATAACAAAAAAGGGGACATTATATATGTGTGCATAAGTGCTGGCATGAAAATTTAGAGCCAACTTGTACACAGGACCTCTGGACACTTTAGCCACATGTAAAAAATGACTGCATGTCATTGCATTAGATAATGAGATAGCAAACCAAATGGCATTTATTTGAAAGAAATATAGCACAGGCAAACTTCTAGAGCAAAACATTCACAAAAAGCAGCATGTTCAGTTTGAAATAGTAAAACAATAGATCTAGGTTTGAAAATGAAGAAAAAAGTATTGTGTCGCTTTGTGTTTGTGAAACATGATGTTGTGAAACATCAAAGGAATAGTTCCCCCAAAAATGAAAATTTCCTGAAAATGTACTCACAATCAGGCCATCCAAGATGAAGATGAGCTTGTTTCTTCATCAGATTTGGAGATATGTAGCATTCCATCACTTGCTCACCAGTGGATCCTCTGCAGTGAATGGGTGCCGTCAGAATAAGAGTCCAAACAGCTGATGAAAACATCACAATAATCCACACCTCTCCAGTCCATCAGATAACATCTTATGAAGCCAAAAGCTGTGTGTTTGTAAGAAACAAATCCATCATTACTTGTGGATTATTGTGATGTTTTCATCAGCTGTTCGGACTCTTATTCTGACGGCACCCATTCACTGCAGAGGATTCATTGGTGAGCAAGTGATGGAATGCTACATATCTCCAAATCTGCTCTGATGAAGAAACAAACTCAAATTTTCAGTAAATTTAATTTTTGGGTAAGCTATTCCTTTAATAGGACATGTTTGCAGTAGTGAGGAAAGATCTAGAATTCGATATTTGATTGAAAATTTTTTCACTGCTTACCCAGAATGCACAGTCCATCCTGTGCACGAGTTATGGCAACATTGACCTGATTTGGATCAGTGATGAATCCAAGTCTTTTTCCAAGCCAGGCTTTACTTGGTCTGTCGCTTTCTATATCAGATATGGAGCAGGAGCGCACAGTAGAGACGATCACATACGGCCACTCACTTCCTGTACACAGCGATTTACATTCAGAGCATTAAACTTTCTGTTCTGTTTTGACAATCGTTATTTACAAAAACAAAGTTTAAGAGTGGGAAGGAGTCTCAAATACAATAAAGACACTTACACAGAGAACAGAAAACCAGTTAAAACAAAAATAAACATGCATAAGAAATATCAAATCAAATAAAAGCTTTCCTAAAATATATGGTAAAATTAAAATAAAGACTGGATACAGAGACTTTAATTAGAATTCTAAAAGGTGAATAATCAGAATAACACACCTTGGCTTTTCATAATTGTGCAAACAGTGACATTTGCAATACCACTCTTCTCGGCTGTCTTTTTGATTTCTGATACCTGTGCGTTGTAAGGGGTCAGAATTGCAATATGCTCAGGTGCCACACCTGACTGATTAATCAACAGATCTGCCACACAGACCTGGGGGAAAAAATTTAATATATATGTATACACACACACACACACACACACACAAGGGAATACTGTCTGGGAATATGATGCACTGAGTGAGAATGATATGTTTCATCATTACAACTCATGCTGCCTTCAAGTTCTCAGACGTAATTCCTGCTTATAATGTGACATGAACGTGTAATTTTATGTTTTATCACTGTATATATAATATGAATTTTGTCACGCAAGCCTGTAGCCTCTTAAACGGCTAAATGACTAGTACTTTCTGTCAGATTTTACGTTCTTCATCAACTGCACAAATGTTGTTTACCGTCAACATTAAAAAGTCAGAATCAATTTCAACATGCTTCCACCATAATTAATTATCAACACATCACAGGTGAATAGGGTAAAACACCACCAATTTACTTGCATTCAGATTTGCAAAATTGTTTAGTGTTACAAGATTTTAAAAATGTTTTTGGAATATGCAAATGAAGCATTGTATAATTAAATATGGGCTAATTTGCATACATTTCCAGGATAGAAATCTGAACACTGGATAAAGCAATGTTCAAAACTCTTATTTTGTATTGTTGACATTAGAGGTTTTTACAGCACAAGAACAAGATAAACTCACCCACTTTTCTTGACTGAATGACTTTTGTAGCTTTAATAAGGATTAATCTATATTTAATTCATACAGTGAATTGAATTAATATGTATTATTTTAAAATGGCTGCTATGCCCCTGCTTGTATCATTCTGAGGTGAACTGAAAGCAGCATTAGGCTCTGACTTACAGCTTGCTCTGCCTCCTCAGTGTTGGCCACCGAGTTCTCATTGCCCTTTTCTGTGGATATAACTAAACTGTGTTCTTTTCCTTGCACATGGCCAAACAGGATCGCCGTTGGCAGTCCGTACTTGTTAAGCAGGTAGCGGGGTCCTCGTTCAGCTCCGGATTTCAGTATTCCTTTATAAAACTCTTCTGAAGGAAACCTGCAAATTTCTTCATGCTAACAAATGTGTGCATTTGTTGAAGACAAAAGCAAAATGAAAACTTTGTTAGACTTTTTACAGAATGTTTTCTATTGTTATTTGAGGGAGGATCTTAGCGCATTTATCAGTTATTTTACCATTCTGTACTGTGTGTCCAGCATTATGGCCAGATCCATGTAGCGTTCAAACAGAGACTGCTGCATGCCCATCTTTTTCACGAGGGCACACTGCACTATCGGCCGTATCTGTTGATGATCGCCCAGCAAAACAATCTGAAAAATGACTTTTCTTTTGAAAAGATGCATGTCTTTCATTCCTATACACAATGGCTATACACTGTATATTGTCTTACGTGCCCTCTAGAAGCTTGCGTTCTGCAAGTTAATGGTGCATTATAGTGCACAAAACCACTTTCACAGACTTTTACATTAACTGTTCCCTCCTGGTGGAATGACCTACCCAACTCAATCCAAGCAGCTGAGTCCTTAGCCATCGTCAAGAAACGGCTAAAAACACATCTCTTCCATATTCACTTGACTCTCTAACTCTAGCACTTTCTATTCTTTTTCTATTGTTTTGACTTGTTTTATTTTAATTTTAAAACAAAGACCCTCTAACACTAGCATTCCCTATTCTTTATCTATTCTATCTACTTGTTTTTCTTTTTATTATAAAATAAAAACCTTGCAATGTGTACCGCTTTAGGCTAACCGAGACTTGTCACAGCACTTACATATGAAGCATTGTATAATTAAATATGGGCTAATTTGCATACATTTCCAGGATAGAAATCTGAACACTGGATAAAGCAATGTTCAAAACTCTTATTTTGTATTGTTGACATTAGAGGTTTTTACAGCACAAGAACAAGATAAACTCACCCACTTTTCTTGACTGAATGACTTTTGTAGCTTTAATAAGGATTAATCTATATTTAATTCATACAGTGAATTGAATTAATATGTATTATTTTAAAATGGCTGCTATGCCCCTGCTTGTATCATTCTGAGGTGAACTGAAAGCAGCATTAGGCTCTGACTTACAGCTTGCTCTGCCTCCTCAGTGTTGGCCACCGAGTTCTCATTGCCCTTTTCTGTGGATATAACTAAACTGTGTTCTTTTCCTTGCACATGGCCAAACAGGATCGCCGTTGGCAGTCCGTACTTGTTAAGCAGGTAGCGGGGTCCTCGTTCAGCTCCGGATTTCAGTATTCCTTTATAAAACTCTTCTGAAGGAAACCTGCAAATTTCTTCATGCTAACAAATGTGTGCATTTGTTGAAGACAAAAGCAAAATGAAAACTTTGTTAGACTTTTTACAGAATGTTTTCTATTGTTATTTGAGGGAGGATCTTAGCGCATTTATCAGTTATTTTACCATTCTGTACTGTGTGTCCAGCATTATGGCCAGATCCATGTAGCGTTCAAACAGAGACTGCTGCATGCCCATCTTTTTCACGAGGGCACACTGCACTATCGGCCGTATCTGTTGATGATCGCCCAGCAAAACAATCTGAAAAATGACTTTTCTTTTGAAAAGATGCATGTCTTTCATTCCTATACACAATGGCTATACACTGTATATTGTCTTACGTGCCCTCTAGAAGCTTGCGTTCTGCAAGTTAATGGTGCATTATAGTGCACAAAACCACTTTCACAGACTTTTACATTAACTGTTCCCTCCTGGTGGAATGACCTACCCAACTCAATCCAAGCAGCTGAGTCCTTAGCCATCGTCAAGAAACGGCTAAAAACACATCTCTTCCATATTCACTTGACTCTCTAACTCTAGCACTTTCTATTCTTTTTCTATTGTTTTGACTTGTTTTATTTTAATTTTAAAACAAAGACCCTCTAACACTAGCATTCCCTATTCTTTATCTATTCTATCTACTTGTTTTTCTTTTTATTATAAAATAAAAACCTTGCAATGTGTACCGCGTTAGGCTAACCGAGACTTGTCACAGCACTTACATATTATTGCCCTTTTGTTGGTTTTTATTGCCTCTGCTGTCCTCATTTGTAAGTCACTTTGGATAAAAGCGTCTGCTAAATGACTAAATGTCTTGCAGAATGGATTAGTGTGCACATCTGTCCATAAGTCTTCTGCTTACTTCAGCTAGATGTATATTACCTTATTATTATTATTTTTTTTAATACAAATTTTTCTTGAAAATTTCTCAATGTACTGATAGTAGGTTAATTGCCTACTAGTGAAACAGTATGCATTATGCAAAAAACATTAGAAACGGTAGTATGGTGCTTTCTTGTTGGAAATTTTTTTTTTGTTTTATTCCAACTTTGTCTGAACAAAAGATTTGTCAAGAAAGACACATTAAAGGATTTTGTTGATATTTCAGACAGGAAATAAAAGGCCAATTTGAGCACATTGCATTGTGGGATTCAGTCTTCCATGCAGTGAGTTCATCTATATACAGTGCACCATATATATGTGCTATGCTATGCTTAACAAAGCCATTGTTTTTGCTCTATAGATTATCAGAGTGCATTGTAGATTATAAAAATGGCACTGTATAGGGAATGAAATTTTTCCACCAAATAATTGGACCAAATGGCTAAAGGCACTACATAAGGAACAGGGGCAATTTTGGACAGACTTTGAGACAACCTGCTGCAAATGGCACAAGTCTCTTCCATCTGACAGAATCTCTTTGGTTTTGTTTGAAAACTGATGATGATGATGATGATGTCATCCCAGCACTCACCTGCTTTGGATTGTTGGAAACTAATGGGATGAAGGCCTCTGGTTCTGTTGCCATGGCACATTCATCAATGAGAATCTGCCGGAAATCCATGACCGCCAGGATTTCGGGTTTTAACGCTGATGAGCAGGTGCACAACACTACATCATACTTCTGAATCTCATGCTTATGAGCTTCCTTCAACAGTTTCCTGTAGCTGCAAAGTCACATTTACCACATTACCAGAATGATGATGGCAATGACAGAAACACTGCGTTGTAGAGTAATAGCTCATATAGGATAAATTCAATGCTCTTACTTTTTCTGGCATATCTTTATATTGGATATATCGCTCTGATTTTTTCTTAATGCCTCACAATAAATTATCTTACTTTTCTCTCATTCATGCATCATTGTGGCAAGCCTCTGAATGCAAAAAAAATACAGAAATTTTACTCACGTCTCTACTTCATCCTCTGTTAATTTGTACTGTTCAAATTTTTTAATTTCTTCCGAAAAAGGATTCTCAGGTTTACGAACAAGGTACATTAGTGTAATATTCCTGCAACAAAATCAGACGTTTAATGGGTATATTCACACACTATTTGTTGTGATGTCTGTAATGTGGGTTCAAAGGTCCACCACTGGTAGACAGTATCACTTTCACATTCAAAGATAATTTATGCCTTCCATAAGTTGCGTAGATGTACATTTCTAAAACCCAAAAGTTTAATAAAGGTATTGTACCAGCTAATTAGCCATGTTTTCCTTATTCTTAATAAAAATGAATATTTAGCCTCTCAAAAATCAAGATATTGACATTATTTTTTGATGTGAATATATAAAACGTACATTTCTAGATTCAACATTTTTTGTTCTACAGACTATGATAAGTACATATGCAAGTACTATATATATAAACATTTGGTTTTCAACCACTAAAAATGGGTCAAATTCAACAATTTGCATGTGGAGCCACATTGAGGTCCCCATATATCTGGGATAGAACTATATGTGGTCTTAAAAATTAAGACACCAAAAGAAAAAGGATCTAAAAGGATATTGAGATATCTTTAAAATTTATTGAGTTACAGGCATGCCATCTTTGGAAAAAGAAAAAAAGTTTTTTTGTTTTTTTTTGGAATGGTCACTATTGGCATATAATACAAGGATTGCTAAAACAGATTTTTAACAGGTTTTACTAATAGACCTAGTAATCTCTGTGTAAAAAAATAATAAGTATGCTGCCATCTTTCTAAAGTAATTTACCGCCATGCAATTTGGCTCCAAAATCTTTTGAACCCGTCTACAAAATAGTGGCTCTTACTTGAGCTCCTCTTTTGGTTTTTCATCCCTGAGGGATTTGCGGCAAAGCTTTAGGTCACTGCCTGTATAGGGAAATTCACGCATTTCCATCTGGTCACAGTAGATTCTCAGAGGCTTTAGGACTCCCTTGAGTTTCAACAACTGCTCTGGGACACAAGATCAATGGGTCATGTAAGTACAGTTTATCAGGTAAAACAGAGCCTGAAACATACTCTATGCATGCATGAAAATGCCAATGCTTCAAACAAGTTTGATTTTATTTGTCATTGCACTTGGTACTATCGTTCCCTTAGGAACTGAGTTTTATCCCCACCAAAGTAAAACAAGAATGATGGAACTGCACTGGCCAAACATTTGTGCCTTGTATACAGTAAGTTTCTGGCTTCCTTATAAAAACTCAATTAATTCTAAAATTGTATAAACAATCAGACTAAGGTATATGCTATATATTAAAAAAGACCACCAAACACAATTCACCTGCAACAATGTCCACAGACTTGTTGGAAGGTCCACAGTAGAGGATGGCAGGCCTTTTGGGGGGTTTCTGATCAGGGTTTGCTTTGAAAGATTTGGAAGAGGCCAGAAAGTCTTGGTTCTTCTTGAAATACCAGTAAACAATGTGAATACCAACCACTGTTTTCCCAGTACCTGTGGATGAAATATCATATGAGTAAATTTCTTCAGCATTTTCCACAACACATCTCCATTCCCAAAACTGCAAATCAGTCTGATTATTTAGTCAGTATGGATTTTTGCATTTTCTGACACTCTACTCACAACAGTGAACAAAATGAGCCTGCAATGGACAAATCTGTGAAATCAAATATCAGTTTGTGACATTTAGTGAATTGCTTAATACTGAAACTAAAAAAAGTGACCTTGCAAAGTTCTACAACAATTACTAAAGCAACTATATTATTACTACATATGTATTTTAAACAGTACCTGGTGGGCCCTGGATCACAGTGAAAGGTTTCTTCACAGCCTCCTCAACAGCTTTCTGCTGGCTCTTATTCAGATGTGGCAGGTTCAGGCTTTCATCCACATTGTCCAAGTTGATATTTTCATATGCCTCTAAGACAAGAAGGTTTCCACCACATTAAAATAACAGTTACATAAGATATCCATAGACCAGACCAGACACAACAGTATTGTAGAGGTTTTCATTCATTCCAATTTTTTTTTAATTAATAGTAGGTTTTGTAAAGAAATTAATGTGTAGGCAAAATTTATATTGCAGTTATCTTTGCATTTTACTCATGTCTTTAGTTCAGTTCATTTTTACTGATATGCATTTAGTTCAGTTTAATTTTTCAGGAAAGGCACAGCAAGAGTAGTTCCAGACAGGTCTGACTGTGTTACAATTACATATCACTTATTACTAATTATTAATTTCAAAGTTCCTTACAGCCTACAAAAACATGCTAAATGTCTTGTAATGAAATATCTGGGTATTCCAGAGAGCTGATTATGTGACATATGTTTAAGGGTAAGTATGTATCATGGATCTGCATTCAAACATTTTCTATAATGTATTTCTATAATAAAAATACATGTGTGATATTAATTAGCATCCAACAAACAATATAAATCTTATTCTCTGTGATTAAAGATTAAATGAAAAATGATTGTATAACCACTAAATTAGATGGCGATGTGCACTAAGTATGTAAATGCCCATTGACAAAAAGAGAAAATAGTAGTATGGCTTGCTTTTTCTTAGTGTTTGTTTCCATAGTTACTCGTCAGTTCGTTGCTCTGTTGAGAATGTCTTGTGTGTTAACCGTGAACATACTCTATTGACTGAACTTACTCCCGGACACATTTTTGGAACCAGCACACCTCAAGTAAGCAAGGTTTGGGTTAATCAACCGAGATGTCAGGGTATATGTGACGGTAAATTAACCTTGCTTTCTGGAATAATCCAGAATAATCTGAACAATGAGGTATGTTATAAGGTGTGGTAGCTGTAGTATAAGTGTAATAATTGACTCCAAGCCTTGATGAATACAATATTGTTTGTAATTTGCTTCTAATAAAAAAAATAACTAGAATGTGAATATATATCATTATTGTGAAATTAAATTACTCATTTTGTGAAATATGATTTTTGGGCATATCGCCCACACCTAGCTGCCATGTTGCTGCACTTACTAGCATTCAGTTTTTCAAGTCGTTGATTAGTGGCGACATTCTTCACCAGGTTATTAGCCCGTTTTAAGTTTTCAATCACATGTTCTCTGACCCTGCAAAAAGACTGCATTAGCATATGTATAATTATGTATAAATCTGAAATGCATCAGCAGGATAAACATCACTCACAAATACGGAATTTTTTTGGGAATGACCTCAATGGTGAAGTTTGGTCCCTGTTCAAAAACCTTGGGTGGAATGTAACTCACAGATATTTTCGTGATCTGAAATGTCATTTTGTTTTGATTGTCTCCATTCTTTGGTTTCTTTGGTTTGGTGGTTACTGCATGTGCAACCCATGTAAAAGGTAGTGAACCCTGCAGGTCTAAAATTTCAGAACTATCCAGATGTTTTGGATCACTCTTACTGTTCTTCAGTTTCTGATCTCTTAGTCTGATGCACAAGAAGCAGTTACTAAGGTCAAACTCCAGAGACCACTGTTTTTTCTGAGTCTTTGTCAGATAAAAGAACCCTTGGAGATTTGTTTCATCTCTATTCCATGTTATACGAACACCCTCTAAGATGATGCTGTTATTTTCTTCCAAAGCATTGTAAGCGGTGTCTATCTGACATAGTTGGCTCCAGATGTTCTGGTACTCATTGTAGCTTTCATAGAAAGGCTTTGATGCATTGCACACTGTTTTGGAAAAACAATCAATAGGGTTTCTCGTGTGCTCCAAACAGATCTCAAAACATTGATTAACACTGAGAAGTTGAACTACAGGAACTGGAAAGCCATCTTTGAGTTCAGTCCCAAGCTGCACCTGAACAACCGTGCCTAACTTCAGCTCCATGGTTAGTTCCTTATAATGGCGTTGTTCTGTTGAACAAGCCTCATTTGTCACACTTTCCTTTTCTTCATCCTCCCCTTTTTTCATGTCTTGGAGGCATTGCTCAATCTTAACCCAATCCTGCTGTTTCACAGCAGATACCAGTCTTTTCCACAAGTTGCTTGACACTGATGTCACATTCTTCATGGGCTTTAACGGATACGAATTCTTGAATGATTCACTGAATGAATACACTCTTCTCTTCCAATGAAGGGTCATGGCGTTCTTTTCCTTGTTGTAACTTGGCTGATCCACAACTTTAAGTTGCTTGTACATGATGGTGATGACGTCTAACTTAGAATGTAGTGGGAATGATATTGTGAATTCATGCCCCTGTGGAGTGAGCTGGTCCACCACCGCAAGCTTAACCACATCTTTGGGTTCAAACTGAACCTTTTTTAGTCTCAACACCAGAGCATCATACTTCTCTTCTGCATCCATGCCAGTTTGGCAGAACCTATTGATTTCAACTTGAGTGTAGTCAGCTTGCTTTAGGATCTCCTTAGACAGCATGGTGTGCAGAAGTCTCTGCAAGATAAGGTCCAGATAACGCCTCATAGGAGATGACGCCCAGGTGTAGGCGTTCAGCCGTAAATCATAGTGACCCAACCTGGAATCCGTTGAGGAACATGACCGAAGGATGACAGCTTTCTTCTGAATGTCACGAAACTCCCGCACCATAGGGATAAGTGTCGGATGGATTTCATCCGAAAAAATTAACTGCATCAGATTATAATAGTCTTTGCTCTGTGCAAACTCTTCCATCTTTTGAAATATGGATGTGAATATGTTAAATGGTATGCCATTGTGCTCCATATTTTCATATTGTGGATTGGACCAAACATGCTCTTCACTATGTTCAGTATCTACTTCACAGATATTTGAAAAGTAAGGCGACATGGGAATTAGCTCAACGTATTTCTTCTTAAACTGAGTTAGTTGTTCTGAGTCCGGCTCCCTGTGGCACCTCAGTGGTGTGAGATCTCTTGTGACGTCTGTAGATATGAGTTCTTCAGCTGCAGCACTATTGTAGAGATTCATTAGTTCCTCCACCATTGCATGAGAGCAACTTTGCCCTGCCTGCCTCCCAAACAGCCATCCATCTTCCAGCCTGCATTTTCGGTGCTCTTCGGAGAAACGGTAAGCGACAGCTACACAATCCTCCACGCAAGAGAACCGCAGAGGCTCAGTGTCATCCAAGCAGTACTTCTGAATAATTTGGTCAGCCTCTTCGTATGACATCCGTCTGTCAGATATAATCAGGGTTTCAGCAAAATCAAAGTTTAGTATATTGCTTGTTTTCTTGTCAATGTCTATCAGCAGGGATATGGCTTTCCGTTTCTTTTCAGGCAAAACACTCAAGTGGTCATTGCTCAGCTCTCTTGAAAACATGAAGGTCACGTCTCCCTTCTCTGGAGTGTAAATTGTTTTGCCACACAGTCTAGCGAATTGGTCTTGCTCGCTATCTTTGGAAATGCAACTTGCGACATCTGTAATGTGAATACCAATCTGATAGCGATCACAGTTAATTTCACTCACACTAATGGCGTCATCCAGGTCTTCAGCTGTAGGTGGGTCAATGGTGAAAGTGATAATGTCACACAAATTCATCCTGTCTAAAGCCTTATCGTCTTCACGTTGTAGTTTGAATGGTGGAGGTGTGTCTTTACAGCCAAGTTCAATGTATAGCATTTCATCCAAAGCATCACACTCTGGAATTACATTTGTAACCACTCCGAGAGGGTATGTTTTCCCATGTTCCCATTTTATAACCTTGACTATCAACATTTGATTCTCAGCAATATTTACAAATTCCTTTCTGACCCAGCGTCCACACTTGTATTGTCGTAGTTCAACTATCCCCATGTCAGGCTTTGTTTGAACTGTTCGTATTCTGGTCATGTGTTTGTTAACAGGTGTAACAAGTTTTGGGTTGCCTTCCACCATCTTACAGATGAAGGTTAGGGAGTTTTCATCTCTATTTATTAGTCCGACAACCCTCCCTTTTAACATTTCACCTTCCTGCGGACACTGTTCTCTGTTCAAGATCTCTACACAGACATCATCTCCAGGAAAAGACCTGCCCACATTTTCTCTTCCAGAGATTTTGATACAGAGTGTTGGTTCGTCGAGGGGCCTGGCATACGCCTTATTGTGTCTTTCCATTACAAGTTTACAGTGTTTGAAAACATCTGGATTGGTATTCAAAAGTTCTTCAATATCTTTCTTGCAGAGTTCCTCATCAAATTCAGAGTCAGACTCCAGACTTGTGCATTCATAGAGGGTTTTGCAAACGGTCTTGGAGTGATTCTCCTCTGCGTTGCTGCTGCTAGCAGAGTCACTCTCTTCTGATACAGAGGTATCCATGTAATTCTGTTTGGATGTGCACCTGCAAACAGAAATTGAGATATTAGGCACTTAATGTCAGCATGAAATGAAAATTTACCATTATCTTTTCTGTAAATGCATGATCTTAAGGTTTTTGACCAGGGAACGTACTCAGTTACTAACATAACCTCGGTTCCCTGAGATACGGGAACGAGTACTGCGTCTGCTAAGACGCTATGGGGAAAACTCATTTTTCTCTGAAGCCTTTTCAATAACGCAATGTAACTGCATGGCCATTGGTTCGTGCAGTGAAATAAAAAACAAACCAATGGCTCAGCAGCGGAGCTGCACAAGCCTATGGCGATGAAGCCCGCCAGAGCCCGCCAGAATGGGCGGGGCAATCTGGCTATATAAGCAGCCATTTCGCCATAGGATCCTCAGGTTACTTCGACTGAAGCGATGACTGAGTTGTGCGGCCAGCAACGCAGTACTCGTTCCCGTATCTCAGGGAACCGAGGTTACGTTAGTAACTGAGTACGTTCCCTATCGATACTTCATTCGTACTGCGTCTGCTAAGATGCTATGGGGAACTACTACAATCCCGCCGCGCTATGCTAGAGAAACGACTAATACCTGACTTGCCTTAAGCACCCAAGGGGGCTCAGAGGGACCAAGTATTTTGCAGGGAAGCCCCGCAGGAGGCAATAGGGCCAAAGCTCACAGTGGTCGGCCCGACCTTGAGTAATCGTTCCAAGAGAAAATGGTACAGCTTCGGAACTCAGTGAGGGCCAAGAGCGTACAGGTACAGGTACACTGGTTGTCATGTGACAAGAGTGAGCCCTTTTATGCAGACAGAACCCGAGCCTGTAAGGCCAGGATGTCCAGATTATAAAACCTGGCAAATGTGGACAGCGAGGCCCAGCCGGCCGCCACACATATTTCTGCAATGGACACACTGCTAGACCAAGCCCAGGAAGAGGCGATGCCTCTAGTTGAGTGGGCTCTTACTCCCATGGGGTATTGTAGGCCTAAAGAAGAGTACGCTAGTGCAATAGCATCAATTATCCATTTGGAAAGTCTCTGCTTCGTGACCGGAAACCCTTTGGTGTGGCTGCCGAAGCATACAAAGAGCTGTTCCGACTGCCTGAACGGGGCGGAACGCTCAATATAAAATATAAAAACGCCCTGAAGGGGCAGAGTAAATTCAACTCTTAGTCTTGCTCTGAAGAAGGAAGCGCCGACAGAGTTATTACCTGTGCTCTGAATGGAGTAGAGTGCACCTTATGTATGTAACTATGCCTTGGTTTCAGGACGACTTTAGAGTCGCTGGGCCAGAATTCTAGGCAGGTGGGGCTCACAGAGAGCGCCTGCAGATCTCCCATATGCTTTACCGATGCTAACACCAGTAGCAGAGCGGTCTTTAGGGGACGAAGGTCAATGTACTGTAGTGGATAAAAGGGAGGGCTCCTTAGAGCTCTCAACACCGTGGGCAGATCCCATATAGGGACGGTGACGGGGCGAGGCGGGTTGAGCCTCCTAGATCCCTTAAAAAAATTAACAACTACGTTGTTTCTGCCCACCGATTGGCCAGCTACAGGAGCGTGAGAGGCTGCTATAGCTGCTACATAGACCTTGAGCGTGGAAGGGGAGCGACCCTTATCCAACAGCTCTTGCAGGAAGGACAATATCAGAGATTTGTCGCAGGAAATTGGGTCTGCGCCGCGGGCTGTACACCAGGCGGAGAAGACAGACCATTTAAGGGCATAGAGGCGTCTCGTAGACGGTGCTCTAGCCTGAGAGATTGTATTTAGTACGCTCTCGGGGAGGTCCGCAGACTCCCATCGAGAGGCCAAAGGTGTAGAGCCCACAGCTCGGGCTGGGGGTGCCATATCGTTCTGTTCGCCTGAGAAAGGAGGTCCTGTCTCAGGGGGATGGGCCTCGGGGCTGCTGAGAGCAGCCGAGACAGCTCTGCGAACCAGTTTTGGTTCCTCCAGAGTGGGGCCACTAACAGAACCTTGTGTTTCTGTTCCCTGATTCGCCTGATTACCTGTGGGATCAGGGCAACCGGGAGAAAGCGTAAAGGAGGAGGTTGGGCCAGTCGTGGGCCAACACATCCCTGTCCTTTGAAAAATAAGTTGGGCAATGAATGTTTGAGGTGTTTCTGAGGTGAAGAGGTCAACCTCTGCCTTGCCGAAGATCTCCCAGACTCTTTGAACCGTTTGTGGGTGGAGCATCCACTTTTCTGAGGGGACCTTGCTCCGAGATAGCATGTCTGCTCCTTGGTTCAACCTGCCCGGCACATGCGTTGCTCTCAGTGAACGCAAGTTGAGCTGTGCCTATTCCAAGAGGCGCTTCGAGGAGAGACCGCCCTGGCGATTTATATAGGACACCAGCGTAATGCTGTCCGAGCGGACTAAAATGTGGTGTCCCCTTAGGTCTGGCAGAAAGGTGTGAAGGCCCAAACATAGTGCCAGCATTTCTAGGGAGTTGATGTGAAGCCGACCTTCCTCTTTCGACCAGTGGTCGAAAGCCGGTTTGCCGACGCGCAGCGCTCCCCAACCTGTGTTGGAAGCATCTGTCGAGACCACCTTCCTTCTGCAGACCATTTCCAGGTGCACGCCCCGTTCCATCCACTGAGGGTCTTTCCAAAGGGCCAGAGCTGCTATGCAGGCCTGGTCCACCTTGATACGAAGCCATCATATACGCCAGGTATGGGATGGAACTCGTGGTTTCAGCCAGTACTGAAGGGGCCGCATGCGAAGCAGGCCCAACTGAAGTACCACAGACGCGGAGGCCATGAGGCTCAGCATCCTCTAAAATGCCTTGAGAGGGTGAGAGGCTCCAACATGAACAAGGCCGCGAGCTGCTGAATGGCCAGTGCACGTTCTGGCATTATTACCGCCCTTATTTGGGCTGAGTCGAGAACTCTTCCCAGGAACGATATCCGTTGGCTGGGGAACAGCGCGCTCTTAGCAAAATTGACCCTGAGTCCCAGGCATTCTAAGTGGCTGAGGAGGAAGGATCTGCGAAATAGTAGCTCATCCTCCAACTGGGCCAAGAGGAGCCAGTCGTCGAGGTAATTCAGAATGCGGATTCCCATCTGTCTCAGCGGGGAAAGAGCCGCATCCATGCACTTCGTAAAAGTGCGAGGAGCTAGGGACAGTCCAAAGTGAAGGACCGTGTATTGACATGCCACTCCCTCGAAGGCGAATCTCAAGAATCGTCTGTGGTGGGGGGCTATCTGGATGTGAAAGTAGGCGTCTTTCAGATCCAGCGAAAAGAACCCGTCCCCTGGGCACACTTGTGAGAGGATCTGTTTCAATGTAATCATCCTGAACGGCCGTTTCATGAGGGCGCGGTTCAGGTGCCTGAGATCGAG